TATTAAATATTCCAATTTAATGTTTATTTCAACAATAAAATATCTTTAATTCAATTTACTTCTTAATATTTAATTTACAAAAGTTAAAAGTGCAAAATATATTGTAGCCATCGAGACGGTGTAGCACAACAACAATAATATAATGTTGATATCTGTCAATGGTGATGGTAACTGCTTAGGGATGTCACTGACTGCTGTCACTGACTGTCACGCGTTACCAATATTGTACCAGTATTTAACACCCCTTAACGCCCAGCTGAAGAATAGAATTCTGGAACTTTTCTGGGTCGATTTGAGCGCCGTGGTGTCTGTTGTCGAATAGGAGTTGATCGATCTACACTACCAGACGGTGAGTTTGGTGCTAAAGTTTGCGGTGGTAGTGTGCTGGCAGGTGCTGTTGGTGATGGTGATTTAGAAGCTGGCGGTGTAGACCCAAGGTCAGCAGCGTTTGTCTCAGATTCATCAACGGAAGTTGAACCCGAGGTACTGTCTGGGTTATTTCTATCTCCAATGTCGACTTCCTCACTGTCCATTTCTAAATCCTCAGTGACAGCCCTGCTTCTGATTTGGTCCAAATGACGTTTAATTACTCTGCCATCTTCCAGCCGAACCTTGTATGATACTGGGCCGGTTCTCGAGTATATGCGCCCCTTTAACCACTTAGGGCCGGTTGAATAATTACGGATCCATACAAGGTCTGCATCACAAAATGTTTGCTTGACAACAGGATTATCCTTGACGTTTGACAGCTCATGCGGGTGAACTTTATCAAAGTAAGTTTTGAGCTGACGATTAAAGAATAGTTCGGCCGGAGAACGTCCTGTTGTTGCATGTGGAGTAATGTGTTGATTGAATACAAAACGAACCAGATTAAGCTCAAAATCAGAGTTTGGCGGAAGTTTCTTAAGAAAATCTTTCGTCGTCTGCACCATCCTCTCTGCTTGCCCGTTAGACGATGGGTGAAATGGTGCACATCTGACATGCCGAATTAAGTTGTTGGTCATGAATTCATCAAACTCTGATGACGTAAATGCAGTTCCATTATCTGACACTATTACATCTGGTAGGCCATGAGTTGCGAAAAGAGATCTCAACGATTTAATTGCACACTGTGATGACGTGGACTTAACGATATGTACCTCCAACCATTTAGAGTAAGAATCAACCGTCAAGAAAAATATTTTGCCATGGAAAGGACCCGCAAAATCAACATGTAGGCGTGACCATGGATTCTTTGATGTTTCCCATATGTGGGGTTGCGCCTGGGCTTTCTCATGACGGGTTTGCTGGCACGGTGCACAAGTTTTTACGATATTTTCCACTTCAGTGTCCATTTTAGGCCACCAAAAATAGCCTCTAGCCAATGCCTTCATTTTAACGATGCCTGGATGTCCCGAATGTAACGCCTCCAGAATGGGTTTACGACATGTGGAAGGGACAATCGTTCTGTTTCCCCAAAGAAGGCATCCTTTGAGGGTGGTGATTTCATTGCGGCGCACATGATACGCATACGCTTCATCGTCCCGCGACATGGACGGCGGCCACCCCCTTAACGCCCAGCTGGTGACTTTCATGAGAAGTGGATCTTTAGCGGTAGCTGCTGCTATGTCTTTCGCATTTACAATTTGTGAGCTAGCCATTTCTATCATAAGAACTTCACCATGATTGGCTTTGCTGGATTTATCTTCTACGGGCAGACGGCTTAGGCAATCCGCATTGCCCATTTTCTTCCCTTCTCTATATATAAAGTCAAAAGAGTAGGCATTCAAAAACGTGCATCGACGAAGCATTACGGGCGATATGATGATAGGCGTTTGCTTGGTGGTACTGAATATTCCTAGGAGAGGACGATGGTCAGTAACCAATATGAACTCCCGTCCGTACAGATAGTCGTGGAACTTCTTCACGCCTGCTACTATTGCAGTTGCTTCGCGGTCAATTTGAGCGTAGTTCCGCTCAGCTTTTGATAATGTTCTCGAATAAAAAGCAATTGGCCTCTCCGACCCATCAGGTAAAATGTGGCTTAGTACGGCACCAAGTCCATACGGCGAGGCGTCACAAACAAGTATCAGTGGTAACTTTTCATCATAATGGATGAGAACGCTATCAGAGGTGACTAACTGTTTCAGTTTATTAAAAGCAAATTGATGCTCATTCTTCCAAATAAAATTTATATTTTTTTCTAGAAGGCGATGTAAAGGTTCCGCAATGGTTGCTTTATTTGGTAGAAAAGTATGATAAAAGTTTAAAAGACCAAGGAATGCCTGCAGCTGCTTCTTGTCTGTTGGTGCAGGAGCATTTTGTATAGATTTTATTTTTTCTGGGCATGGCCTAATGCCAAGGCTATCGATTTTATATCCCAAAAAATTAACAGTAGGGACGCCAAATTGACATTTGTCTCCCCGAAGACGTAAGCCCGATTCATCAAAACGCCTTAAAACTTCACCCAAACGGTCTGACAGTTCTGATTCATTTGAACCCATTATGACTACGTCATCAAAATATGGTAGAACGCCAGGAATGTTACGCAGAAGTGTTTCAATAAAATTTTGAAAAATTCCTGGCGCCGACGAAATGCCAAATTGGAGTCTATTTACCCTAAAAGCCCCCCTTATGCGTGATAATAGTTTGCATCATGGCAGATTTTTCGTCCACAACCAGCTGTTGGTAGGCCTGGGCTAGATCTAGTTTTGCAAAAATTTTTCCTCCTTCAATTGAGGAAAGAAGCGAGCTCACGGAAGGAATTCGAAAATTGTGCGGAAGGAGCGCTTTATTAAGAGTCGACTTATAGTCGCCACAAATTCTGATCGACCCATCGCTTTTGGTAACTGGGACTATAGGAGTTGCCCAGTCAGAATATTCAACTGGTTCGAGAATTTTTTGTGAGCACAATCGGTCAAGTTCAGCTTCAACAAGGCTTCTTATAGCAATGGGAATCCGGCGTACCGGAAGTCTTATTGGTTCAACACCATCTTTAACACGTAACGAAACTGATTTTCCCGTGAATTTCCCTAGCTCAGCTGAGAAAAGATGATTAAATTTCTTTAAAACCGATTTTATGTTTCGTGACTCATCGATGAGTAGCACTCCCTGAACACTTATGCCCAATGCATCAAACCAGTTACACCCTAAAACATTAGTTTGATTCCCATTTACCACTAAAAGTGGTAAATCTTTTATTCTACGCCTGTCGTATAAGACTTCGACATCTACAGTACCTTTGATAGGAACGCCATTATGCTGAAAATCCCTCAACTTGAGACCGCATTCGTATAGAACTGGCTTACCTGTGGGCCATAATTTGTCGAATGTCTTAGATGACAGTATAGTGTAGTCAGAACCTGAATCCACTTCAAATACACACGGCTTTCCATTGATAGTTACTGTTGTTGATTTTTTCCGACTTGTTGAGCACGAGATTTGATTTATCGATTGCGGTTTCGATTTGTTTTGTTGGATACGATTTTTGTTGGTGGAAGCTGAGCGCTCCGTAGTTGGATTTTGGTTGGTCGAGCGACAAACGCGTTGTAAGTGCCCCTTAAGGCCACAAGCCGAGCATATTGTTTCCTTGTAAGAGCACTGTGATCGAAGGTGTGCGCCTCCACAACCATTACATGGTTTGGTTGTAGTTGTACCTCGCTGATTTTTACTCTTGTTGTTGTTGCATGCCTTCTTTGCATGCTGTTGATTTTGTTTGGCAATTTGGTTGACATGTTCAGGTTGTCGAATTACCAACACGTTTTTAGATGCAGCTTCTGCGGTTGAAGCCTTTTCGATCACCTTCTGTAGTTGCAGGTCACTTTCGGCAAGAAGGTTACGTTGTAGAGCTTCGTCTCTCAATCCGCATACCAAACGGTCGCGAAGCATACGGTCCAAAGCATCACCAAAATTGCAGTCGATTGCTAATCGTCTCAATACAGCTACGTACTCCGCGAATGTCTCGTTTGGCATTTGGTCACGTTTGTGAAATTTGTAGAATGATGCAATTTCCGAAGGGCGAGGGGAAAAATGCTTAGTAAGGATGGTCTCAATTTCAGAAATTTGAAGATCACTCACCTTTTTGGGCGATGCCAATGACGACAGGAGGTCATAAAGTGTGGCGCCGGCTAGTGTCAAAAATATCGCTTTTTGACGTTCGGCCACCTGTACGTCATTGGCCTGAAGAAAAAGCTCGAATCTGGCATAATAGGTTTTCCAGTTCTCCGGATGGTTGATGTCGAAAGGTTCCAACGATCCTAACGCTGTCATTGCGTGCTTTATTGCTGAAGACGGTTGCGTTTGCGAAGATGTAGTGATAAAAATCTTGGAAGTTGATGATGTGTCGTTGCTTTGCAAACCTTCCGCTAAATCGGACTCCTTCTTAAGTGGCATTGACTTTGGATGTTAACCGTATGAAAATTGTGTGCTAACTGCAACAATGAATGTTACAATTTTTTGTTGCCGAAGATTATGCAAAATTTCTTAAAATGCACTAGTAAGCATGTGTGGGCGCTAACTGCATTATGGCGTGATACCCTTGAAATTTTTTGCACGCAACAAGTCACCTCCAAATGTATATTGTTGAAATTAGTTGTAATATGATGGGGATGATCCCATCCTCGT